ACCCATGGCGAAGACGCAGTGCATAAATGTTACGAATTGGCTGCCGCCAAAGGATATCACGCATTTGCTCTCCAAAATGGAGGAGAGTGCTGGTCGTCTGAAGAAGCTGATATAAATTATAACATGCATGGACTTGCGACGAATTGTAAAGACGGCAAAGGTTAATGAGAATTTATGATTGTCTGTCGATAATTGATATTGCTTTTCTGTTTGACTGACTGACTGATTGATTCAGGGGGAGGCTGGTCCAATGATGTCTACTTTATTCACGACTTTTCACCAATGTACAAACGCCAAGGTTGCTATAGAGACGAAAGAGACAGAGCCATGGGAAGTCTTCAGGGTTCAAGAAAAAACCGTAACGACTCCATCGAGAGGTGTTAYCAAGACGCCGTTAAGGGTGGTTTCACTATGTTTGGTTTACAACACGGTGGTGAGTGTTGGACTGGTGATAAACTTGAAAAGACTTACAGCAAGCATGGTGAAGCTGACAACTGTAAAGACGGTCTTGGTGGTGTCTGGTCTAACGATGTCTACTCTATAAGTGAGTATAATTCATTGGTGGACATCATATTGATTATAAGTCACATGAGTAAAGCAGTTAAATGTACAGCTGGTTTAAAAAGGTTGGTACTTTTTTTGAGAAAGAAGGCAAACCTCAATAGCATCTTGAAATGCATGGACGTCAATGTAAGGTTGTTTCAGTTGTTGACAAAATAAAGCGGTTTTTAGAAGTTTTTACTGAGCAAAAAGACCAAGAGTGCTTTGAAATGGACGACGGTATAGGTTTGTTTGCTGGGACATCATAATAACCAAATACCAAGGCCCGGGTACCAAGGGCATGTGAGTAGATCAGTTCTGCAGCTCTTTTAAAGGGGTTGCCGCTTTTTTTCTGAGCAAGAAGTGCCTTTAAAGAAAATATTGCAATAGATAGACGTCGGACAAGGTATTTTTGGTGGGAAASAAGTCCATTGAATCTCCATAATTATAAGGCGAAAATTGTGAAATAGAGAAGATCAGATGGGGCTTGTTAGTGCTTACCGCTCAATTTATCAATATCGCGTCTTTGGAAATGTTCACGAGTCATCTAAATGAAGTTACCAAACTTCAAAATAAGGCAATGAGTATAGCATTTGATACTCATATACAAAAACGTACCAAACWCAACGTCAAGCAGGCTAACAAGGTAACGTTTCATGAGAAGACAAACAGGATTATTAAACACTAAAGGTGTTTAGTTCTGATAGTGCACTAAAGGTTAGTATATATTGAACCTCGAGAGACGTGAAGTTCCTGGTAAGTATCAAGGAGAACTACCTGGCAGACTTATGAATAAAAGCTCAGGTTTTTGGGCAGGTGTGAGTGTTGTTATAGTTACAATATCTCAGTGCTCACGTCTGCCCAGAAATCTTTTCTCTTTTGTTTTGTAGACTTCTACAGGAAAGGTTGCTATAAGGATGACTCGCCAAGAACGATGGGTGTATTTCTGGGCAGCTTTACTGGTCCAAACGCTGTACTACGTTGTTACCAGTTAGTTAAGGACAGAAAGCATAGTGCGTTTGGTGTGCAAAACGGTGGTGATTGCTACACTAGTTATGATGCAATGGCAGTGTATGATAAGTATGGCGCTGGGTCTGATTGTAAAGACGGCAAAGGTAAATTAGTATCATTAACTATTACTAACAATAAATGATAATCTTGATTATGATATACAGTATTATATGATTATGACTATGTTTACGATTTCAGGTGGCCCCTCATCTAACGACGTGTATTTTATCAATCGTTTTGATAAGAATGATAAGTTGTACCCAAGAGAGGGTTGTTTCAAAGACAAAAGAGATCGAGCCCTTCCAGTGTACCTTGGCTACTTCCACAAAAATGCCGTAAACAGGTAAGCAAATTCTCAACTGACAGACAGTTTGATGTGGTAGCAGGGATGAAGACACACATTTACAAAAGGAGTTTATTGTGAGTCAGATACAGATATCATTTCGGGCTAAGAAAACAAACGCTTTACAAGGAATGCATGCTTTTAGTTGTTTCAGAGCAGCTTTAGCAAAGGACTGGAGGTTTTTTGGGATACAAAATGGCGGCGAGTGTTGGTCGGGACCTAACGTCATCGCTACGTTCTCAAAACATGGTGCTGGTACTAAGTGTCACAATGGCTTGGGTGGAGTATGGAATACCGATGTTTATAGAATCGGTAATAATATAAATACATATATGCTTGTTTGTCTGTTATAGTCATCCGTCCATTAGATATAGCATTTTACAAAGATTACAGTTAACCAATGTTTTTTCGACAGCTTTCCAGCACAAAGACTGTTATGTTGACGATCCATTGCGCGCTCTGCCTGATGTCCTTGGTATATGGCGCAAAGTTTCACCAAGTGTTATTTTAGCGAAGTGCTTTGAAGCAGCCAAAGCAAAGGGTCTTAAAGTATTTGGAATTCAGTACGATGGAGAATGCTACTCAAGGTGAGAAAAGAAGCGATAATTTGATTGGCAGATTGATCAAGACTGGTCAAACCATTGATTCAAAGGTTGATTGATTATCGGATTACCTGATTGATTGATCAATGCAATGATTGCCAGAAAGATTAGCTGAATGATTTAAAGATTGATGGCTGAACTCGACTGGTTTTAATATTCTCAATACATTGCTTGATAAGTTCAGTATTTAGAAATACAAAGTTGTAAAACCGCAATTATACTTTCAATACATTCTCTCTTTACAACAACAGCCCTAACGGCTTGTCAACGTACAAGAAATATGGTCCAGGCACAGGATGCACCGATGGTGTTGGAGAAAATTGGGTCAATGACGTGTATTCCGTCGACTCTACGTCACAGTATACGTCACTTGGTTGTTGGAAGGACCGGCCTTGGAGGAGATTCGAGTTGCTTGGCACCTGGAAAGAGGATGTCTATCGCAAGTGCTACGAGGCAGTAACGTGAGAAATCTTACTTTTTAGTGCATTCCTTTGCATTTTCTTTTTTCCATCCATCCATTCATTTTATTCCTTTCATTTTCACTGCTATATCCACGTTAGATAAAATGGATGAAGAAGTTTAAATATGATAATTTTTTACATCAAGAAACCATTCARAAATACCCTATCCTACAACATCAAATAATTCTCAGGCAACTAAACAGATACACGTAAAAACACTACTTTTAAAGGAAATTCACAGATCAACAGTGCTTAATATTCGTTGTTTTCAGTGCGCGTGGTTGGAAAGGTTTTGGTATTCAATATGGTGGTGAGTGTTGGTCAAATAAAGACATTGAGACTCTTTACAATGTACGTGGTAAATCCACCGACTGCAAGGATGGTAGAGGTGGTGAATGGGCAAACAACATTTACCTAGTCTAAGGTTAGTTTACCTTATTATCACTTAACTTACAGCTGTTTTGATTGGCTAAAAGTAAGGCACTTGTAACCTATTCTATAAGTTATATTATATAAGTTTTGATTGGCCAATGGAAGTTTTCTCTAGTCCATTTGCCTTGCATATTTTGATTCAATCTGAGGTAATACCCGCTCTTACAAAGGGAGTTTCTGGTCACATCATTTTCATCTCAATCATAAAAGAAACTATTTACTTAATAWAAAGCATTTTTTCATTATTATTTTTAGAGCGACATTTTCAAGATAGACCAAGTCATCCAATGACCAGTGGCCAAATTAGAAGTAACAGGATTCACAATGTAGACATTCATTGACGCTTAGGTGTACACAAGACTTATTGTTAATCGCTTTCATGGGATGTTGACAATTATAAAATAAAAATCAAATTCATGGGAAAATGATATGATTGATGAGTTATGTTAAATAAATAATTCAAAATCTATTAATAAAATAATAATATAATAATATATAGTTATTAGTCGCCTTTGAGAATATGCAGACATCCCACCCTCTCTGAATATTGCTCCTAATTAAATATCTTAACAGCTTTGGCAAATGTTACAAGTATAACATAAACACAAATAATACACTGATTTTATTTAAATTACATAAAAACCTTTCATAAAAAATACTCACAATAAATTAATAGAAATATGTAATAATATATCTTACAATAAATATCTAGAAAATCGTTTTGGGATGAAAAGAGATAATAATATCAGAGGTATGTATCATGTCATTGAATAATATTATGATGCACAATAACACAATGCTTATGCTTTAAAAAAACATTTCCAGTAAATTAGATTTTTGTGCAACCATTAAAATGGTTTCTTGGATGACAATGCAAGGAATGACTGAGTGTTGAGACCAAAAATAGCTAATGCAATAGTAATGTTGCAAACCATTCAACATGAGTTGAATCTCAAGTAACAAGATACAATACAGCTATAGTGTTGATGCTTCATCCAATACATTGTCATTTTATTTCACCTATCTGTGGTTTTGAAGAAGAGCTGCTCTTGCACCAACAAGAGCTTTAAAGGCTTCCTCGGTTCCTGGTGCTACACTTTTGTCAGGGTGAAGGAGAACAGCAAGCTTTTTGTATGCACGATTGATCTCATCCCTGTATAATGCAGATATCATGGTTATTGCTTTACTAATCATTAAAAAACCCTTGCCTTGTGACCTTTTATAAGCACTGAGTTAAGGTTTATAATGAAGTTGAGAGTACTTACTTTGAAGCACCAGGAGAAACACCTAGTCGTTCATAATCTCCTTTAGCATTTCTTAGTCTRTGTATGGCTTCTGCCTGTTCTTTGGTATAACCAAGTGTAGTTGCTGTGTTGACATGAATTGGTCTGGTACCACTTTCTGATGCCTTTACTACACCACTGAACAATGTCTACAGACCAGTCAAAACAAAGTCAGTATGGTGTTAGCTCTTTTAATCCCAAGGTTTGTCATTTATCCACTATATACTATGCTAGCATTTTAGCAAAGTTAAGCTAGGTAAATACTTTTRCCTTAATGTGAGAGGAAAGTATGGTATACTAAAAAAATGTAGTACACTTAAAACAACTAGGGTACAATGGATGACCAACAAAAATCCACAATATTAAAGCTACTGTAATTATTACAGATGGGCAAATGGCCCATAACAATAGCAATGAATTCATAATAAAGTCATCACTAAACCTGAAATAAGTCAGTTATTCCTTCTCCTGTMWGAGCTGAAGTCTCAAAGTAATAAAAGCCATGACCATCAGCCCACAGTCTCCCTTCAGCCTCTTCTACAACTCTGTTTTTGTTRTCAATCTGAAACAGTCCAAATAAGGTAAATAACAGAAACTGGTAGAAGTCAAAGACATATTGGAAGAGCTATCCCATGTATAAATCAGGGAAAGTGCTATTCACAGCTACTAATGGCACGAATCCAACTGATAAATACATGTACAGTACTAATTCTATAATAGTTTTGTACCTTGTTAGCACAGACAACAAAGACAATCCTATCCACATCACTTGGATCACCAATTTCTTTCTTGATCTCATTCAACCAGTTGTCAAGGGCATCAAAGCTGTCACGATTTGTTACATCATAGACCAGTAATGCACCCTGGGTATCTTTATAAAATTCATTGCGAACCTAACACAGACACATTTAATTAATGTACTGATTACCAATACATCTATTAAAATTGTATGAAACCATGAATCAAC